TATTCTTAAAATTCAAGTTTATAACTAATTAATGCATATGATACAATTTTTTTTAAATATTTATGTTTTGAACTTCATAAAATTACTAACAAACACATTCAAATCATGATAATTATTGAGGCATACTAATAGATTAAAATTTTATTTTTTAATCCCAAATATTAATGTATAACATAATTTTGAATTAAAAAATTATGCAAAAAATTGAGAATTCCATAAATAATTAACTTGACACCATTTCGATTTGTGATTTCTATATTGTTCAAACATAAATTTCGAATTTTATTTTCATCAAGATGTATTAAATTTTTCTTCGGATTTGCGATCCCAGGTAAGATTGGTCCAGGATGATAGGATCCAAAATTCTCTGAAGTATTTCTCTTACAATCGTTTTTTTTTCACGAATTTGACTTGTTTTCCTTTTCCAAAAAATAGTTTATCGAATTTGGTCCGAGATCTACATCTATGGACTGAAAGGTCCGAATGAGACACATTTATTTATGTTTTCTAGTATGAATTTTTTATCTCCAACCATTACTAGAAAACAAAGTATCAGCGACATAAAAAATCTTTCGCTGATCAGCGAGGGAATGGCCAAAAAACCAGTTCCCTCGTTGATCTCTTACTGATCAGCGAGGGAATCCCTCACTGACCAGCAAGAGATCAATGAGGGAAAGGCCAAAACCATTTCCCTCAATGTTCCCTCGCTGATCAGCGAGAGATTAGCGAGGTAATTTGTCAAAAACAATTTCCTTCGCTAATTCATCGCTGATCAGAAAGACCAGAAATCAGTTCCCTCGCTAATTTTTTTAATAACTACAAATTTAATTAATTATTAATTTTTAATTATTGATTATTAAATTGTTAATTATTTATTATTTATTAGAATATTACAAAATTAATTAATAAAACCAAATAACGTTAATGATTGTGCTATATTTTTTTCCCGGAGAACTAATTAAATATTTGTGTCCCAAATTTCAATAACTTACAGTAAAATTTTAAATTGTGCAACATCCAATGATTAAACAAATGGTATTGGGCTGATTGGGCCGCATCGACCCTCACAATTTAGGCAACGGCCGACCTTTAGCGAAACCCTAAAAGCACGACCGTTAGATTTGAAATCATGGTATTCCATTATAGCCGTTGTAACAGAACTTCTCAAGAAGCCTATAAAAATATATGTGTGTTCGTTCAAATCTCAAAACTTGATAAGTGTTGTGACAAGAACAATGAGGTCTTCTCACATTCTTCCGTCGACATGACAATATCAATATCATATCAAACTATCTATATTGCTCCGATCATTGTTCATGCCAATATTTTACTGTTTCCTTTCCGAAACAGTATCTTCCCCTTCCTCCTTGCCTCCCAAATCCTCTTTCTTTTTATCCTTCCCCCTTCGCATCCTCAGGATCGTCTTCTTCTCCTCCTTCCAAATCATCTATGTCGTCCAAATCGTCGTCTTCATCGATGTCGAAAAGATCGTCATCTTCATCCGTCGTTGTCGCATACCCTTCGGGAACCGAAGCAGGATCGTCATCTTCACCACATATTTACTTATTTCTAAATTTGATAATTTTTTACAATTTATTCAAAATTTGCGAATCATATAAATCATTAGTTCGAATCTATATTTATTGCGTATTTTTTCTATTTCACAATACGATGGATTTTTTTATAAAAAATTATTCATATGATCCCAGTGTTTTGGGCCTACGTATTGGATTTGGAATTTTTGGTAACGAATCCCGATTAGCATCGTGCACATTGTGAAATCCAACAAAACCCTAGAAAATCCTCTATAAAGGATCCTTTGTCATAGGCTAAACCATCACCGTCTACTGACACAGCTGCTACTGCTACTGCTACTGTGTCTGAATATTCATTTTCCAAAACACAAAGAATCTCTGCAAAGTAAATCAATGGCCGACAGAACTCAAAACATAATCAGGAGGCTTCAAACTTTGGCTCCAGCTGCGGAATTTTCTGACAGCGATGACGACGATGAGGAGATTCCTAGGGAAGAATTTGGGCCACTTAATAAGCGGCCGCGGTTCATCGAATCGGCGGCGCATTCGCCACCCCAACTCCAAGTGCGACCGCAGAGCCCGATTCAACAGTCGCAGACGGTTACGGGATCGAACACGTACATAGAAGAGGTACCTGCTTCGAGTTCCGAWGGGTATGAGACCACGACGGATGAAGATGACGATCTTTTCGACATCGAGGAAGACGACGATCTGGACGACATAGACGATCTGGATGAAGGTGAAGAAGAAGATCCTGACGACGTGGAGGAGGAAGGAGGAGAAGAAGTGAATACGGGAGGCGAGGAGGAGGGGGACGATAGTGTTGCGGAAGGCGAACATCAGCAGCAGCATGTGACGGAGCCTCCTACTTCGGTAGCATCGCTGACAGGACGAGAAGCAAATGCCGGTGATGCACGTAACGCTKTTGCAGCGGCGTTAGATGCTGCAACTACGGTGATGCTAACCGATAAGACCTTGCTGGATTGCCCAGGCTGCCTCAAACCTTTGCGTGCCCCGATCTACCAGGTAACCTCGATTGCTAATCTATATGTTGTTTTGAATTCAGTTCTTGAATTACTGCTGTTGGCTTCTATTTGATGTTTTGCACACACATATATTTATATACACACATCAGATCACACATATATTGCACCAGTGAAACCCTAAATTTCATATTATAATATTTATTTACATATTTTTCAGTATTTAAAGTTTTCATGTTTACAACAAAATTAAGGGTTTTATTCATGTATTCTTTTAATTGTTTTGTTGTATTATCATATTCTAGTTTTTAAATTTATGTTGTATTATAAATTAGATTTTTATTAAATGTTTAATTTTAATAAATTTAGTTTTTATATATTCAAGTTATCTAAAAATCTAATTACCTGTTAATAAATTCAAACATAATAATATATTTAACTAATACATACTAGTGATATATATATATATATATAGATATAGATATAGATATAGATATATAGGGAAGTTGAAATGAAAAAAAAATCATAGTGAGAAGGTATATGTATAAGAAAGAAAGTTTTATGTGTAAATAATTGAAAAAATACATTTAAAATTACATATGTAAATAATTGAACATGATTGGTTAAACTAGTTTCAGATTCTTCAAAATGGTTAAAAATATCCTCCAATCGAAATAAATATAAAAACAGTTAATTGACATTGTTGTTGTTCATCTCCTAATACCCATGCTTAGTTAAAATATTAATAAAATAATTTAATTTAAAATTAATCATTAACTGTCATAAAAGTAATAATTATGTGGCTTAATTTGTAATGTTAATAAATATATGTATTAGTGAGAATGTATATGATTAGAAATAAAATAAAAATATATATACTTGAAATATTTTGTTTGTTTATTGAGAATAGTACTTTCATAAAAAATCACACAAATTCATTACATAAAACGGTACTGATGATTAAAGATGGTTTTCATTGTATCGGAATTAGCTGACAGTATGTTGAAAAGAATAAGTTGATAAAGCATCTTCGAAATCAAAGAATGTCATTTTATAGGAAAATCTCGTGTTTTTTACTAGGTAGTTCTAAATGAACCATCTACATAATATTTAAACGTATTTCTTACTAAGGGGTCGTTTACCCAATTGCTTACCCGATAAATGCTTACCAATAGGAGTCAACACTATGATTGATTTTGATGCGTAAGATTTTAGTATATCAAAACATATCGAATGCAACAATTTAGTGGGTAAGCGCTTATCTGGGTAAGAGTCGTCATCCTCACTTACCGGGTAAGACTCTCCATCATTCTCATCGGTCTTACTCGGTAACATTTTTTACCCTTATCATGTTTATCCGATGAGGAAATTTGTCCGATAAGTATTTACCAAGAATATATATGCACTTCTTACTTTGTTTTAGTGTGTAATGATATTTCAAATTTTAAGATTTTTACTTGTTACTTATATGATATTATAATTTAGATTTACATTAACTGTTAAGTTTTAATAAATTTAATTTTATATATACATCTTATTTATAAGACTATACATTGTAATAAGATAATATAGTTTGAAAATAATAAGAACTAATAATTTAGTTTGGTTATTAATTTATTGTAAAATAAAAATTATAYGGGTTTAATTAATTTGTGATGTTAATTGATGAATGTGTTATTGAAAATGTATATAATTAAAAATAAAATAAAAGTATACTTAGAATATTTTACTTGTTATTGAGATGTATGGTGTCATCGATTRAAAAGAAACTGATATGAAGTAAAGATTTGTGTTACTAGTTCTCATGATCATACACATTTTCTTCTTTTATGCTACTGCAGTGTGAAAATGGACACGTCTCATGTTCCACCTGTTGCGACAATGCGAATGGTATGTGTCTTTCGTGCACCTCACCAGTCGACTTCACTCGTAACCTAGCCATGGAGAAGCTAACTGAATCAATCCTAGCATACTGCAAATACAGGATATTTGGTTGCACCGAGATCATGATTTACCACAAACTTGTTGAGCATGAACAAGTCTGCCCCCAAATCACATGTTTATGCCCTCATCCCTCATGCTCATTTGTTGGATTTGCGGAAGACCTTTACGACCATTTCAACATATGTCATCCATCTTCTGCTACTCCTTTTACTTTTGACACTGCCTTTGCTATTACCTGTGAAAACAACCAGAAACATGTGTTTCTTCAAGAACGCAATGAACAGGTCATCTTCATTCTAAACCATGACCTTGGAGAAAACAATAGAACCTTCTATGTAGATTGCATTGGGCCGGCCAAATTCAACAGAGTGTTTGTCTACCAGCTAACCGCAAAACATTTGGAGACATATTTATCTTTACAGACTGTGCCGGAAGTCTATGTGAAATGGGAACAACATGCACCCAACAAGAAGTATCTAACTATTCCGGCAGACTTTCTGGATGGAAACATTGATCAATTCGTCATAAATATATGTATTAAGAAAGCTCATCCGTTTGAGTGAAGCAGTAATTGTTGTTGTATCTCTTGGATATTGCCAGCCATTTCTTTTAGTTTCGCCTAAAGACTGTTAAGTTTCTATGTTTTTTTTTGTCATTTTCCAAAGTAGTAAGAATCAATTCTGTAGCAAGTTGTGCATATTGATATGTACCATCTGTAATAAGAATGGTTTGTTGCTCTAAATTTTGCACTTCTAGTTATGAAAATAGGCGGTTAAATTAAAGGTATGTGTGTTAAGTTAAATGTTGAGATATTTGGAGTTTAATCTTATACATTTGAGTCACATAGTCACCGACTAAGCTTTGGGACCAAATTTTGTTTACCAACTCTAGTGCTAGTGTGAGAACATGTTCAACATACAAAGTAAGTATTATTTACTTACTTTACTGTTTACTCTACAAACGAAGTAAGTATTATTTACTTACCAGTCCATTTTTTGGTATTGGAACTTCCTCAACATGTCAGACAAAGTAAGTTCAAAAGTATTATTTTATTAGTGTTATATTTTCTTTATTGTTCACTCTACATACAAAAGGATGAGTTGAAATTACAAATGTCTACATTATATCAAACGACTGATATGAAAAATACAAAGGTGCATGGATCAACAAATCAGAAGAACACACATGTTGAATGTATATTGTTACATTAAATGTATGGAGTGCTATAAAAGGTGATTTTTAGATCATATGTAACTTTCCTCTATGAAGAGTTTATATGTGCAACTTCTTGTAAATCGGCGTCTTAATCTCTAAAAACCATCTTACTTCTTCATATTTGAAAGAATATTTCTCTATGAGCAAATTGGTCAACCAATTAGATTGTTCATGATCATGTCTTACCTTTTTTAGTATCTTTGTTGATGCATTTTTTGTATCAAATTGTATATTGTGGCGGTGTGTTTTGATATAAGGATATCATTGTGTTTTAAGTTATCAACAAGTAATTAGTTTTTCAAACAATAAATACATAAAAAGTTAAGTTTATTAAAATTTAACAATTAATATAAATCTGATTTAATAATATAATAACAGGTAAAAAAACTAAAAGTTGAAACTGAAATACGTCATTGACGTCCCCAACGGTGATCTTCTTCAACCACCTGCAACCCGCCTACCAACGATGAACTCAAAATTAAAACTAAACAATCGATGAACTTAAACCGAGCCGAAATGAAAAAACTCAAAATCACAATCAAGGAGCATATATAGATCTCGTTTTTTTAACATACCAATAAAAAGGGTTGTATATATCCTCACCCTGAAAAATCTAAGGTTAATAAAGCTAGAGCATAAGACCCCATCCTTGATGGAAATGAAATTATGAGAATCCTAGGCATAGTTTTTTTTAGAATTAGGGACCTAGTTCGTAATGTTCATGAAATCATAGGGATGAAATTTGTAATTTAAGCTAAATAAGAATCAATTAATTTGAGATTTTTAAACAATCCGGGGTACAAGTGAAAAATAAGATAAAAAGAGGGTAAGAAATGGCAAAAGTGCAAAGAGAAAAGTTACACAAGTTAAAAAAAAGACGGTGGGCCGTTGCAAATGCACCCGATCGGAAGCAGAAGCTCCTCAAACTCTGTTGCCGTCGGACAGCAATCAAATTCTCCCTACCCTTCTCCTGATCATCGGAAAATTCACTGACGATTAGCTACAAAATTCGATCAGTATCCCTAACCCTAGAAAAATTAGAATGATTTGAAGTTGCCCCCTTTTCACAACCCTATCTAATTTATACTCTTATATATATATTATATATATATATGTACATGGCTGCTGATAGCTCTCCTGATTTCGACAGAACTGACATCTCGCCAATGGTATCATTTTCTGTTTTCAGTTTTTCTATAACTTGTCGTTCTCATTGGCGTTTTTCTGTTTTGCTTGATGCAAATTTTTTGATCGAATTATGACGATGGCACAGTTTATGTGGTTGATTATTGGATTTAAATGTGAAATTATTGTTCTTTCAAAGACGAATTTGGTATGTCTGCCTGATTTAATTGGAGTTTGTAGTGGATTCTTTTGATTCTGACAGCGAATGCATATTTAACGATATATTACAACCTAGGTTGAAGGGGGTGCCAAGCAGAAATTCTCGACGTATTGCGGTAGTTAACTGGGCATATACTGATTATTGTGATTATTCATGCTTAATGAATTGCAGTTAGTGATTCTGAGTAACCTATGAACTTTTGCTGAAAGAAAAGTTACTTCTCATCAGCTGTTCATCAGAAATATGAATTGAGAAACCGGAATTCTTGGATTGTATTATTCTCCCCCGGCTAAGTGTCCTTTGGACCCTTCGCCCGCCTGCACCTTGAAGGGAATTTCCAAAACTTGCAATTGCTGTTGAATCCCTTGACTGGCAGTAGGAGGATTTATAAAATATAGTCATCTTCTGTCTGATTGTATTATGGAATGAATATTGTATAGCTTAAAAGCTGACTTAGAATGCATTCTTTCCAGTTTTTAAACTAAAATTTGTCCCAGCATCATAATGCATTGAACATTTTCCCGAATATGTACTTTTAACTCTTCATGCCACTGTGATATTGATCCTCTTTTTTGGGGGAGGGTTTAAACATATTGCTCATTGTTTCTTAAGCAATTTAACTATCTGGTGGGGTTTAAATCTTTACTGTTATGAAGCTGTTTTTTTATGATTTAGGTGCCAAGTGATGACGATTCCATGGTGAGCAAGAGAAAAGAAGTGGCAAGTAATGAGCTTGAATGGAGTAGGAGAAAGAAGAAGAAGAAACAAGGTGGTACTCCCCGTCCTGCTTGCTCTTGGGTGCATTTTAGGTATGGAAAGCTTATTATATACTTGGTAGCTATGTCTTTTAGTATGGGATATTGACATGCTCAAGTATGAATAATAATCTAGCCGCGAGTTCATAAAGGAGTACAGTGCTTCCCATCCTGAATCCTCTGGTCTGAAAGTGGTAAGCATTATGGTCTTGATTCAATTATAGCACGCCTAATTTGGTCAAAGGAAACATCGTCTAAAGAATGTTAACAGGAGTTGATATTATCATCTTTTAGGCGACGAAAGCAGCCTCGGCTGCTTGGAAAGTGATGAGCCTTGAAGAGAAAGAAAAATACACCAAGCGCGCTCGTGAAGTATGGGATGACTACTTGAGTTCCGCTCCTGCCCGTGAACCAAAACCACGAAAACAGGTCACAAATTTCTTTTTAGATATATCTGTTAGTTTAATTTTTTCTAACCTACTAATCTTACATGCTTCATGATGCAGGCCAACCTCGTCACGAGGTGCTCTCCTGGTCGTTTAGTGAATGTGATGAAACGATTTACACCTGACCAGAAGGAAGCCGTGAAGAGCATGGGATTTGGTAGCCTCCTTGATCTTAAATGTAGAACTCTGCGCCGTAGTCTGTGCCTTTGGTTACTAGAGAGGTTTAACACCATTAGGCGTAGCTTAGAGATTTGTGGTAAACGCATTCCCTTGTCTCCCCGTGATGTGGAACTTGTTATGGGCTTGCCATCTAGTGGGAAGGATATTGTAAATTCAGGGCCTGATGACTTGGTAGCGGATTTGCGTCGAAAGTACAATGCATCAAATCGGGGAATTTCTGTGCGTTTCTTGGAGGAGAGGTTGGGAGAACCAGAAGCAGGAGATGACTTTAAAAGAGCATTTCTCCTCTATGTGTTGGGCACTCTTTTATGCCCTACAGCAAGGCTAGACGTTAGCCCTTCGTTTCTCCACTTTTTGACAGATATGGATTCCATCCATGAGTACAACTGGGCAAAATTCTTGCTTGACAAGCTAGTTAGGGAGGTAGCTCGCTTTCGCCAAGGAAAACAACGAGCAGTTGGTGGTTGTCTTTTGTTTCTCCAGGTGAACTAGATCTTCAAGTTTATGTACATTGTTATAGGCTTTATTGATGATCCAAGATTCAACCTTTTGTTTTATTAACATTAACAGCTCTTTTACTATGAGAGTGTTGCCATTGGGGGACCTTGTGAGCTTGGTCCTGTTGTTATTCCATGCTTATCCTTGTGGACAGAGGAAAATATTTCCGAGAGAGAGAAACAAGAGAAAGAGCTCGGTGGTTATGGATCTGGAGAGGTAAGCTGTATGTTTGAGAATGTAAATTATTACTTCCACATTGAGAATATATATATTTATAATCGTTTATGCAGGCTTTATTGATTTATGCTGTTTTGCAGGTGATTTGCAAGGAGAGGGGTCTTGGGTTGAGTTTGTTAGTTGAGAAGGCTCATGTTGATGTGCTCCCATTGAGAGAGGTTGCTGTTAGAGCTGATCGTAGCATTCTGGCTCCACAGGAAGAAAACCTGGTAACTATATTGTCTTCGTTATTTTTTGAGCAAATCACTAGTTCTTTTTTCCTTCCAACTCTATAGACTATGAAAGGTTTGTCAAACCGAAATGAAAACCTAAATGGTGTGACGGAAATAGACCAACCAAGTGGTATGATGCAACATCAAGAACGAGAGAGATCATCTACTCGAGTCAACTGATTCATTTTTACACATCACTACAGAGAAAAGATGTACATCATACATGGATCTATACACCTTCAGAGTAATATCTTAGGAAGCTACGAACAACTAACTAGAAGGCAAAGAACAACTAACTAGAAGGCAGAGTAATACCTTCAGAGTAATATCNCTAATAATTTAGTTTGGTTATTAATTTATCGTAAAATAAAAATTATATGGGTTTAATTAATTTGTGATGTTAATTGATGAATGTGTTATTGAAAACGTTTATAATTAGAAATAAAACAAAAGTATACGTATGGTGTCATCGATTGAAAAGAAACTGATATGAAGTAAAGATTTGTGTTACTAGTTCTCATATCATACACATTTTTTTCTTTTATGCTACTGTAGTGTGAAAATGGGCACGTCTCATGTTCCACCTGTTGCGACAATGCGAATGGTGTGTGTCTTTCGTGCACCTCACCAGTCGACTTCACTCGTAACCTAGCCATGGAGAAGCTAACCGAATCAATCCTAGCATACTGCAAATACAGGATCTTTGGCTGCACTCAGATCATGATTTACCACAAACTTGTTGAGCACGAACAAGTCTGCCCCCAAATCACATGTTTATGCCCTCATCCCTCATGCTCATTTGTTGGATTTGCGGAAGACCTTTACGTCCATTTCAACATATGCCATCCATCTTTTGCTACTCCTTTTACTTTTGACACTGCCTTTGCTCTTACCTGTGAAAACAACCAGAAACATGTGTTTCTTCAAGAACGCAGTGAACAGGTCATCTTCATTCTAAACCATGACCGTGGAGAAAATAATAGAACCTTCTATGTAGATTGCATTGGGCCTGCCAAATTCAAGAGAGTGTTTGTCTACCAACTGACCGCAAAACATTTGGAGACATATTTATCTTTACAGGCTGTGCCGGAGGTCTATGTAAAATGGGAGCAACATGCACCTAGCAAGAAGTATCTAACTGTTCCGGCAGACTTTCTGGATGGAAACATTGATCAATTCGTCATAAATATATGTATTAAGAAAGCTTATCCGGTTGAGTGAAGCAGTAATTGTTGTTGTATCTCTTGGATATTGTCAGTCATTTCTTTTGTTGTATCTCTTAAGAAACAAAGTATCGGATTTTGCCAACCTTCTTGATTGCAAATGTTAGTTCAAATACCCTCTTTGCCCTTTTAACTTTCTCATTGTAAGTAAAACTAGTATTTGACATCGATGACAATAAAATTTTTAAAAATTTATTGAAGTTAGCTAAATGAGTCGATGATTACATTTTTATATTAAACTAATAAGAATCAATATTACATTTGATATATGAATCTAACTTATCATTATTTGTTGTTCTTTTAATATATATATATATATATATATAATAAGTCTTATATATCATTCTTTTATTATATCAAATTTTGTAATTGGTTCAAAATCATAAAAAAAAATGAAAATATTGATTATAATCATGAGGTGTATTAAAAGAATTATTTTATCATAATACATATCAATTTATCTTCTACATATATTCTCATAAAATACTTATATTCATCAAGCAAACATTGTGTTGTTACTCACATTGACATAATTGTTGAATATTTTTGCAATTTGTTTATATTAGTTCATGATATACTCATTTGTAGCATTAGTCAAAAACCTCATTGAAATCCTTTTTTTCCTACATGCGATTGCATAAAGTGACAATAATAGCTAGTATTATGATCATTCTAGATATATAAGAGTCTGATTGATTTGTTATTTTTTTCATTTGACTTGTTTAAGTTTTTTAGATTTGTTTTAAACAGTTCATAGTTTAGTTTCTGTATTAAAAAAAAAAAATCCTAAAAATGGTTTTATTAAAATTATGTAAAATAAAATATATTGATTATATTGATTCCAATGTTAATTATATGTAGAGTTTGATTTTAGCTTAAATAAAAAATTTTATTTAAACACACACACACACACACACACACATATATATATATATATATATATATATATTATATTCAAGTATCATGTAAATAAAATGATTAGTAAAATTTAAAATTTAGGAAAAATATAAAATATGAAAATAAAAAAGAACTCTAAAATTCCAACAAAGGTCCAAAAAGAATATAAGATTAATCTTCTTGTATTAATCTAGAAGAAAAAGAACAATTAAAAAAGAAAATATTGAAGTTTGTTGAGGTTATATCATATATTTTTTATACATATATTCAAAATTCAATTATCGAACCGTTGTAGTCACCAAAACTCTATAACTGCTGTCAAAAAACAAATCCTCAATCCCATTCAAAAAATTTAAGAAAAATATAGAAGAAAAAAATAATAATAAATAAACTCTAAAATCCCAACAAAAGTCAAGAATAATACTTAATTTAGTATTATCATAGTAAACCTGAAAAATGATATTGAATAATAAAGTTTATAAATGAAAGAACAAATCAATTGATGAACAGAGAAAATAAAAGATTACCTGAAAAAATAAATTGTTGAAGAAAAAGGGTTTGAAAATGAATAATACATCAAGTGATAGGAAGGAAAAATAAAACCTAAATTTTAGTATTATGGTAGTAAACCTGAATTTTTCATCTATATATTTAAAACATTAAATTTATTAGGATAATGTTGTTTTGATAATTTTAAAAAGTTTAACCTTCAAACTTTCATTTTCATTCTTGGATAAAACGACCTTATTCTGATGAATTTCATATTTTAAATATAGGGATGGAAAAGTCTTTTACATATACCAAATATTTTAAAAAATCAAAAATCTAAGAAAAAAAATGGGTTTCTAATGTTTAAATGATAACATCTCATTATGTTTGGTTTCTTCTTTAAGAATTAAAAATATTAGAAAATAATTTTCAAGCTCAATGCTAAAGAAGAAAAAAATCACAATAGACCGATCAACATCAACAAAACCCCATATCATATTTGTTTTATTGAATGATGTCTCAAATCAATAAAAAAAAATCATATCCACAAAAACTGAATAAAGAAGAAGAATTGAGAGATTAAGATAGATTATTATGCTAAACAATGTTACCTTATTTCATCGAAGATTAATGTCACTTTATCCACAGACAAAAAAAAAATTCATATGCCTATATAATTCCAACTTTAGTGTGAATTCTCCAACTAAAAGACGAAATACTATACTTACATAAGCAAAAACTCATAACATGATTTGTCTTATTGAATGATGTCTCAAATCAACAAAAACGTAAATCGCCTCCACAAAATTATAACTGAATAGTGAAGAAGAATTGAGAGATTAATAAAAAGTCATATGCTTGCATAATTCCAATTTTAGTATGAATGTCTCCAATTAAAAGACGAAAATAATATACTTACATTAACAAAAACTCATATCATATTTCTCTTCTTGAATGACGCCTCAAATAAACAAAAATGCAAATCACCACAAAAAACACTGAATAGAGGGGAAAAATTGAGAGGTTAAGAGTGATATTATGCTTAAACAATGTAAAACTATTTTTCAATGATTCATATGTCACTTTATCCACACAAAAAGAAATCCATATGCCTACATAATTTCAACTATAATGTGAATGTCTCCGACTAAAAAAAAACTATACTTACATAAACAAAAACTCATATCATGATTTGTCTTATTGAATGACACCTTAAATAAACAAAAATGCAAATAGCATCCACAAATTTATAACTGAATAGAGAGAAAAAATTGAGAGATTAATAGAGAGATTATCATAGAGGTGTACCAAAAAATTATACATGAAAAGAGAGGAAAAATTGATATATTAATAGAGAGATTATTATAGAGGTGTACCATAAAGAGAAGATGAAAATTTGTAACCAAATAGAGAGAAATAATGAGAGTTAAAAGAGTAATTATTAGAGGAAACATGAATATGTTGAAACAACCTAATTAAATGATCTTTGAATGTGAATATTAAAAATCAAAAACAAATATTGAGGTAGGAAAAGTTTGAAAAAAGGAGAAAAAAAAATAAAACATTTTCTTGTTTTGAAAATAGGGCACATAATTACATGTGGTTTCTTCTTTAATATATATATATATATATATATATATATATATATATATAGATTGGTTAGGGTTAAAAAAGTTCAGTTTATTACAACATTCTCAAAATATTTCAAAACCCTTGATGAAAGTATCAATTGGATGGTTGAGATTGCTTTTTACGAATTTCATCATTTTATGTGGTTAATTTTCATTCGATTAGCCTTTTAATATATTATAAACATGGGTTTTCGTTTCACCACACAAATCATATAACCCATCTATATGACATTAGACCTTGCAATATAATTTTGAGACAGAGTTTGTCTTTTGTATTTTTTTTCAAACTGTAATATACGATTTGTTGTTGTTTTGAATTATACAATATATATATATATATATATATATATATAATTTTTATTTCCTAAATATAATTATTTTGACACTATCCACGTATTGAATACTAACTTATAAGTTTATGTTAACGGATCACCATTCCAACAATTTTATGTACGATAACAAAAGTGTATTTGGTCTAGCGATATGTAAAGTCTCAATCAGCCTTTCACTACTAAATAACATACTCTTTTTGGTGGACAGAACTTCCGAAAATCCGTTGGAAAACACGATTTCCGATGGATTTGTCTTCCGGAAAAAATGTCACCGGAAAATACAATTCACGATGAAGTTTCCAATGGATTGGCCGTTTCTGTCGGAATTTAATTTTAAAAAAGTTAACCAAAAATATGTAGGAAATCCGCCGAAAATTTAATGTAATTAGAGTTTATCTATATATATATATATTAAATGAAGAACCAAGAATATTGAGGTGGCATCATGAGAATTGAATATTGAGGTGTTGGTGAATTGTGGTTGAATTTGAGATATCTCACATTGATGAAGAATTAAAATTTTTGAACAATATGAAGTGCATAAGAAAGGTGGATTGGATGTCTTTGTGTCAAATATGGGGTTTGCCTCATAGGGTTATCTTTCTTTGGATGACCCTATTTGAAATTTATAACCATGGTTGGAAACCAATCAAACCAAATGGTAGAAATTATAGTGCAAATTTTATTATACTACTATATCTTTATATATATATATATATATATATATATAAGTAAAATCTTGGGGTAATGAGGTGACACCGTGCATTTGTGTCGATTCATGGAGTTTGCTTCAATGGTTATATATATATATATATATGTATATATTTATATTTTGTTTAACTTTTCGAATTATTTGAATCTATATCTATATATGTATTAAAGAAGAAATCAAAGGTAATGAGGTGGCACCTTCTAATGCTTAGATACCTTCCTATCTTTTTTCTCATTTTTTTGATTTTTTTAATTGTTGAATATGTTAAAGACTTTTTTGYCCCTGGATGAAAAATGTATAGCTCATAATTAACCCGGGTTATTTTTGTAATTTTGTATACTCAAGTTTAACCTCCAACTCTTGATTTGCTCTTTCATTTACTTTTTTTTATTTCTTAATGAAATTTGTTTTTTAAAGTTTCAATAATAAACAAAATGAAATCATATAAAATTCTTTGGTGAGGGATGAAGAAAGTGAGAGTTGAAGAAGAATTCAAAGATTTTAAAAGGTATGTAGAAATTATATTCATTAAAAAAATGTGATTTGTTATTACATGTTTCTTTTTCAATATTGTTGGATGTGTTGTTATCATAAGATATGATTGTGTTTACGATTGGATCATATAAATTGTGTTTACGATTTGATCATATAAATTCGAATAAAATTTTGATATTTTATAATCATAGGATATTATAAACTTATTTCGAATTTAAGCTTCATTAACAATAACTATTTATACACAACAACTATTTATTCATCTTCATCTCTCACATCCTCTCAAATTATATCTCTATCTTATACATTTTTAAATTTATTTTCTTTCTCTTTGGTTTTTCTTCTATTTTACTATTGATAATCTTYATAGTTTTTTTTTTCACTTCTCCCATAATTTTATGTATGTTTGTATCGTTATTTAGKTTGCATTATAGTTTTTATGCATTATGTAATGAAGATTTGAAGAAGTCTTCAAGTTCAATATCTGATTTTTTGGTTGCAATATAAGATAAAAAATTTATATTGATTTGTTTCATTATTTTGATTGCATTATAATTTTATTTATGTTTGTATCGTGATTTTTGTTTGCATTATAACTCTTATGTTTAGGTAAAGATTTAAAATGTTCAAGTTCACCATGTAATTTTTACTTATGTTGAACGTTTTTTGGTTTGCAGGTTTTCGAGTTCTTTAACGTTTATATATCAAGTCTTGAAAATTTGAACTTAGAATTTTTTATTATGATCTAAGGTAAGGATTTTATGTAAGTTTGTTTGTAATTAAAGTGTATTAGAATGTTATGTATGTTTGTATCATGATTCTGATTGGATTATATTTTTAAGTATGTTATTATCGTAAGTTTAGTCGTATTATAATTTTATGTATGTTCATGTTATGATTTTGATTGCATTATAATTTTATCTATTGGGTTATAAAGATTTGAAGTATTTAAGTTTGGTATGTGATTTTTTACATATCGTATGGTTGATCCATTCGCTATTGTGTTTTTAAAGTCAAGGTGTGTGTTGAAGATGAAAAATGGTACATGTACATCATCCTTTGAAGGAGACATATCTTTATGTGGAGTATTTTTTATTCTTAAGTTTGTGTCAGATTCCTTAATATTTCCGTCGTTATTATTACTCATTTTATTTAGTTTTACAACTTTATTAATAAACAAATCTCTCTCTCAATATATATATATGTGTGTGTGTATATATTAAAATTTCACTAACTATATTTTATTTAACTTTTTCGAATTATTTGAATATGATTTGTTGATGATTCTATTAACAATTAATATATATTTATATTGACAATCCTCATATCATTAATCAAAACACTCATACTACCGCGCAACGCGCGGTTCCCATACTAGTTACTTATTAAAATTTAATTTTTTTTATGTCCACCGAAATCACCCCGAAATCTTCCGGGAATAATTTTCTTTTTTCCCAATTATTGAGTGGCGGATTTTTGGCCGAAGTCAACGGAAGTTGACTTTTTTTAAAATCCACCGGTAATTTTCCGACGAAAATTTTCACCGGAGATAATCAGTTTTCTAGTAGTATGTTAGGAGGATTAGGATTCGTACCTCATCAAAAATAAAGAGGATATATATATTTATTTGTCGTATATATAGACATTATATATTTTTAAAAAATTCTAAGCCTACAAAATAGTAAGCCCATTAGATTTTTTGTTTTATTTATATATCAATTTATTTTACAAAAAAGTTCATACACTATAACATACATTTAAATAAATAATACACATGCATTTAGGTATTGGAAAAGTTTTCCTATTAATTAGGGGTGTTTAAATTTTCGACCAATCCGATATACCCAACCCGAGAAAACGTAAAAACACTTGACTGATAGTCGATACAAATTTTGCTCCCGAACCTATTGGGTTGGAAGCAGGTCAGACCCAAAGTATCCCGACCAAACCCGATAACCCGACCAGAACTTGTAGGCTTTCACTTTTTTATGGTTTTAGACGTTTACGGCTCTTCNAACTAGAAGGCAAAGAACAACTAACTAGAAGGCAGAGTAATACCTTCAGAGTAATATCTTAGGAAGCTACGAACAACTAACTAGAAGGCAAAGAAAAAGTGAATTGCAAACACATACACCCTGATCTTCATGACTTTGAATGATGAAAACTACCTTTTATATGAGGATGCATAACAGAATGTCTGCAAGAAATGTAATAGTCTTTACGAAGGAAAAACTAGTGTTCTTTTTGTATGTGTAAAGATCTGAATCCATGACTACGGTTGAGTAAAGCGATCATATTCAGCAATGGTCCAAGCTTTCGATTGTTGGGTGCTAACTAAAAAGGTTGTATTATTGTAACAATCAGGTCTACTGCCGAGCATCAAATGAAACTAATTTACCAATAAATTGCATTACTTGTTTTAACTGCTTCATGAACATTGTGGTTGTCTGCAGCTTCAGTTGGACATTTTCTCTAGTCTAGCTTTAATTAATTTATATCTTGATCATAGTTGTCAAAATTGTACGAACCACTTCCTATCCAACACCTTTGCATTACGGAATCAAAATATATTATATCATATGATTTTTTTAAAACCTTACCCTAAATTTCTTTCCTTGTTTCTGTGGATTTATGTGTAGAATTTTTTCGCGAAAGCTTATTTCTAGCCACACAAATAGATATGTTATCTTATTCTTTATATTTTGTAAGATCATAATTTTTCATGTTCAATATGGTACATTTTCGTTTATGCATCACCAGATTGCTTACGTTTTCGCTATATCTATGCACCCATTAATGAACTGGCTTAAGATAGCTGAGTTTAATCTAGTATTTGATTGTATAGCAGTTCTTGAGTATATGATCTCGTGTTGATGCAGGGAAGTGTGGCGATCGCTTACAAGGATGAAAGTACAATGCCAACCAAGATTGAAGGTTATGGGTTCAATAACACAATAGATTACTCAAACATGAACGACCATAATGATGTAATGACATATGGTCAAAGTACATGCCCTCTTTCGAGCTGTAACTTCACTGGTCTTTATGAACACTTGTCTGATCACTTCAGCACCAAACACTGGGACTCTGGTCGCCGGTTCCAGTACAATTGCCCGTTACCTGTTTCGTTAGGCATGGATGAAACCTTTCTTGTACTTCAAGCAGAAGAAGATGGCCTCCTTTTTCTACTCAATAAAGGGACTGAAAACATTGGTCATACCATCATGGTCACTTGTATCGGTCCAAGCTCATCTAACGAACGTTTCTTATACTATCTCATATCAGAAAGAGGAAGCAGCTCGCTAAGGTTGAAGTCGCATACGCAAAATTTACCGGGCAGGGTTGACGGGGTTCCTCTGGCGGATTTCCTTCTGGTTCCATTCGGGTATCTTAGTTCAACAGGGGAGCTGAATTTGGAGGTTTGTATATGGAACTCACCAGACTTGGTTGGAGATCGATTTTAAAGACTTTGAAGATCATGATTTTTTGTTTTCTTGGATTAGGAATTGTATGTAGTAGGATGATATTGTGTTTTTCTTGTTTTTTTATTTATCTTTTTTTAATTTTCTTTTGTTTTGATTTTATATTTGAAACAATGAGGTAGTATATGCCATATAAGTGTTGAAAATAATTAGGAAATTATCTGAATATAGTTTTTGAAGCGTTTTTTTGGTAGATGTCAGGGGTCGTATATTGTTTACCTAAACACTTACCGGGTAAGCATTTACGCTTAATTACAGGGTAAGATTTTATTCATTAAAATGCGTTTAATGCAACAATTTATCCCGGTAAGCGCTAATCATGGTAAGAGTTATCGTTCTCATTTACCGGGTAAGACTCTTGATTCTTGTCTTCGTTCTTACCGGGTAACATTTTAAGGTCACACTCCACCTAGGGCTGTCTCGAGAAGAGCTGGTCCACAGGGTTCAATTTTTTTAGTATATTGTAGTAGTTAAAAAAATTATTAAATAAAATAGACACAAATTTTTTTAATATCTAATAGGACCCAAAAGTATAGTATTATATTAAGCCTCGGAAATATATTAATTAATTAAATTGGAGAAGAATATATGTAAAAAGTTATTGTTTGTTCATTTTATAGTATTGTTTGTTAATTCTTTAAGTTTTTTTATTTAGTACCAAAGTCGAAACTACTTATACTAAAAACTTTGATATATTCTCCATCAATCATGTCCTATCGGCTCTTTTTATTATTCAATTCGCATGAATTATATTTTTGTATTAAAATTCAGTAGATGTATTGTTATTAGCTAAGAAAACGCTTACCTTTTGACAAAATATTATCAACCATATGAGACGGTCCAACTTATATCTATATTTATGATTTCAAAAGTATCCTTGTTTTTCAATATATTATTGACTATTTATTACATAATATTGGATGCATTAATCTTAAGTACTTTCTTATCTATAAAACAAGAATAAGCTTTCAAACCATAACCAATATGGGATTTTCATTCTAAGATTGATGGTTCGGAAAATATTGTTTTAACCCTAAAATTTTAGAACGGTAATAAAAAATATTAACATGAGATGAGAGGGAAACCCAATCGATTTATATTAATTTACATAGAGTGTTACTTTGAATAGTCAACATTGTGGTCCCAAATAATGTCAATTTATATATTAAAAGTATATCATATGTTGATTTTTACGGTGGAACAGATTGACGAAGCTAAGTAAAAACGATACGATAGATAACATTAATTTAGAAATAATTATCGATTGATTTTGTGTCCAGTAATACTCGGGAAAACGATTTTATATGAAGTATCAGTATTTCTTGAATTCAATGTTGTTTCTAATGATAAAACAATGTATTGAAGTTTTTTTCATACTTATCGAAAACCCTTTTTTACATCTTGACTACGGCCTATAAAATATTAGGAACATGACTCAACCTTTTATTAGAGATAGAGATGGTCAAATCGGCCCGGCCCGGGACCACCTGTTTCAACCTCAAAACCAGTCTGTCCCGGGAAAAACATAACAAAACTACTTATTAATAACGGGTTTAGATGGTCTGGTTCTTATGCATCTCTAGTCCAGATAATATATCATAATATAAAAGATACAAAACCACACATCACATTATAACATAAGATTTTCAACGAGTTAACAATCATACCATCGATATGTGTAATTGTACATGGCCAACTTAGAAAAGGACACTATTACATAACTTAAGTAACATAAATTAGTTTCAAAAGACCTATTTCATACGTCCATATGATAGTGACGGATCCAGAATTTTTGTCGAGCGGCCACATCTTTAAGATGGATCGGCGTCAAGCAAAGTCGTCCAATATGTTTAGCATAATTCCACCGTTTCAAGGGATTTTTTTCAAGTTTTTTGGTTGATTTTAAGGGACTGATGGATATTTTCAATTTTTTGGTTGATTTTGAAAGGCTTTTTTCTGGATTTTTGGTTGATTTCAAGAGATTTTGTCCATTTATTTGGTTGATGTTCCTTATATTTTCTAAATATTATGGAGCACCCTACAAAGCTTAGCAGATGCACTTTTCATACCCCAAAAAATTTATGCTTACAAAAATAAGTTGAGCAGGTGCATGAGACCCCGCTCGAGGCCTAATAAGTCCATCTCTATTACATCGTAACTTTGCTCTCACTGTTCTTGACCTTACAACATCCTGAGATAAACGTCACCGATCGGTTTTACATTTAGTAAGTTTATGGATTCAATCAAACGTTAACTAATCATAACAAACGAGCATTTGAAAACAAGTCAACATAAATCGTTCACTTGATATGATGGAGGCTTTATCGTTTCGTTTAAAAGTAGTCAATCTTAAAGATGTTGTCAAACACATGTCTTGATTACTGTCACATGGCAATACCAAAGATACCCTTTCGGTTTGATACGTATTAATTGTCAATTAAATATTAATAATATGTAAGTAAGGTTGAGTTCCGGTAATAATGAAAGTTAAGATGAGAAACGTAAGAAATGATCTTTTACCGTTTTGATCTACGTTAAGATGAGATGCATCGAGATTAAAGATAGATAAAAGGTTCAGATACTTTCTTATGTTTCTCCCTTTAAATCTATTTCTCACGCAATTCTTGTGTATAACTACATCATCTTAAATAAGATTTTAATTAATTAGGTAACAATGCATGTTTAATAAAAATCCATTACATTTCATCGTTTCGGAAAACACACGACGACGTCGCATGGTCCACCTGATTTGACCAAACCGTTTTGAATTCTATACCTACTGAACACATTGGAGAAAAGAACGAGATGAAGAAACAAGAAATCGAGTTTTCCCGCTTGCTGCGAATTCAGAGAGAAAGACGCCATATAGTCCGGCGACGGAGGCGGCCTTTGCTCATCGGTAAAGGTAGAAGAATGCATTCATCATCTTTCTCATTTTCTCCGGATCAGACGAGTTATAGTTTGACTGTGACGAACATGCAATACTTGAATTGTCTTTTGAATTCTTATTATGATGAAATTTTTAGAAGTCTCTGTGCATATATAGTCGATCATTTTTAAATTTCGGTTATCGTTCTGTGAAAAAGATGAGAATTGCTTACAATTTTAATTACAGGGTTCATTGGTCGTCACTCAATCTGTGCTTGGAATTGGGTTCCGTATAATGGAAGCCTTGAATTTTGAGTTGGCTAGGCCTCGTACTGGAGACTGGAGTGTGTTAGCTGTTCGGTATCACTCAGTGGGAATTTGATGGGAAAATCTAACCGTTTTGACCCAATGCCAGTGCATATATATTTGTTTGTTTAAATCTATAACTGCTGTAGTAAAAACCTACCACTAGACTCGCCTTTTGAATCACCGGATTGAATGATTAGTTGCTAATTGAAGCGATATGAAATGCTCAACTCCTAGGGAGCTTACAGGCAGCCTTGAACTAGAGTTGGGTATGCTTTCCAAAACCATTATAATGTTGTGCTCATGGAAAATCTAATGTTATGGAAGTAGACAGAGAGATAAACCATCAATGTGAATTAGGTTGAGGTTACCGCTACATTAGCATAAGATAAATTTTTAGATATATGGCATCTGCCTAGGTACTTGGCCTTAGGTAGGCATAGGAGATGGTGCTTGGTGCACCAAGGCTTTGAAAGTTCAGTGTAGAACAGTAGAAGAATTATCATATGCATTTTCTTTCTCAGGGTAGAGGAAAAGGAAAAGTCTGCGTACATCTTACCCTCAAGACCCTACCTGTGTGGGATTTACTAGGTTTATTTGATTTGGTTTGGTTTTATCTCTTTTTTACAGGATCGATATACTCATCTTCTCCTTCACTTTAAATGGGTGTAACTCCTACAAGTATTTATAAGAGTTGAAAGCTGAACTGTTTTTTTGTTCATGTTCATTGTCACGATGAAATAGAGTTACACCAGCAAAGAGACATTATCAATTACTTCTTGGTTTTTCTTGTCTCCTGCTCATTTTTGCAACAGAATTTTCCCACACAACCTATTGATTTGACCTTTTGACTTACTTCTTGATCTTTGCGAGTTGATCAGCTTTGTGATTGAAACCTCACATATGTAAAGTTGCCTCGTTTTTGCTTGTGCCAACTTTCCTGCCAAACATTGTTAAGGGAGAAGTGTTTTCTGTCATTTTCATTGGTTAATTCATAAAAATGATATTTGCAAGGGACACGATTTCCCTTGCAAATTTTCTTATTTCGTTGTAGTGAGGTATACTGTTTTTTTTCTACTCCTGGCTTCTGTTCCTAAAATATGCATCTAAGTTAATGTCCATTTACCCAATACCATGTTCTAAAACATAGGTGAGGGATGCATACAAGTCTTTTGATTATGCGTGATGAACGTCACTACAAACTTGTTCTCAAAATGTCATTATTTTGTATTTTCCTTGTGTACTATTCTTGATCTTTCTATGGATAATATATTTTCGATATAAGATAGCCTAACACAGAGCCTTATATGAAGATGGTCAGAATTACTCGAATACTTGTCGTGTTTGCTATTGGACATAACTGCAATGAACTATTACCAATTAGATATGTATAATGTGCTTATGATTTACAGGCATATTCAGATCAGTTGTATAACATGTTTACGATTTAGTTGTAAAACATATAAGCAGACTTGCTGGGTGTCTTCACCTGCAGCTGATTGATTACTAATACATTTTAGGATGTAAACTTCAGGTACAAAACCAAAAAATCGAACAAAGTACTTGCATCATTCAACAATTTGCCTACTCCCAAGTTCTAGTAATCTATATATTTCATGAATTCTCGAGTAGTACATTCATTGATGCTAAACTGCCCCTTCTGTCAGAAGAAAATCAGGACAAAACAACTATCATCACAATTGACTGCCATTATTGTTTCTTACATAGACAGTTTATATGATCAGGCTCCAGATCCAACAACTTATGGTTGAAGAACTTGCGTCTATATTTGATATGTCAGCAAGGATGTAATCCCAAGCACAGGAACTCCAGAGCTACTTAATTTTGGCTCCAAAGGTATAATTCTATGATGCCATAGATCTGCCTAATCGTCAAGAGTTTCACATACAAATTGCAGTTATGTTTTTTCTGCATGTTAATTCATGCCTCTAGGAAATCCTCCCTTATACAATAGGAGATATGCATGTTCAATGCTTAATTTTGTTTATGGTACAATACCATTGAGCTTTTGAGATGGCTTAAATAAAATGTGGCTAATTGCATACCTCCATATCCATAGGTGGCCCCACGAGCCTATTTTGAAATAGATTCCTTCCTTAATGAAGTCCTGGACTTGATGCTCTCTGTGAACTTGCAGATGAGAGATCAAAAATGGAAAGATGGGGCTGGGCTGGAAGGTGATGTGGTGGTCCTCTTATCGAGCCACATGTCAAGAATAAAACCACGAGTGTGTCCATCCATGATCCTTTCATCCTCCATCTACAAACCTCTCCAACTTTCTCCATTCTCAAAGTTTCCCATAGGCATCACGTAAGTAGAAGAAATCAGGTATATAAAGGTAGATTCTGTCAATGGGATCTCTGAGCTTTTCACTTTCCCGAGCACCTTTAGTCCCCAACCCAACCCCCCCCCCCCTCACACACACAATAATATTCGTTGCGGCTTCAAGACTTTTCTTGATATCATTAGGTTTCTCATCAGATTACCAAACTCCACCAGGAGATTAGCAAAGCATAGCATTAAGAGTGAGCATCTGAAGTTCATTGCTAGTATGATATTCTATTCAGTGGTGTATTAGGGCCAAAAACCATGGAAATTAATGACTACAAGCTTTAAGGGATGACCAAGTTGTTTTTGAATTGGCAGAGTGGAAATGAGATTCGAACTTATCACTTCTCATGTATACCGAGGGACAGGCCAGAATCATTGAGGCTAAGAAGTAAGCACTAAGCACTTCAAGTTTACACATGATTCTTCTGAAGCTCACAATACATCCTCTCTGAACTGCTTGATCATCAATTATTTTTTGTAGGGGTCCTACAGCATAAAGGCCAAGTAACTTACATTTTGCTTCCTCAAATATCTGTCATGATCATCGTGTATCCTTGGCTATAAAATGTTATCATTTGGCCATCTTTTGGTGCAATGCTGTCATATGCCTCCTAATATAACACAAATGTACTTAAAAACTTAATAGCAGAACGTTTGGGTTCCTAGTGAGATTTTTGAGAAGTTAACTTTGCTTTCTCTAGGGGGGAATTTGCTTATACTGAATAGTTGAGGGGAACTAATTGAAGTTGGTACCACACAAGTAACTTTCATGCAAAGAAGGAATAAAATGATGATAGTATTAGTATCACATCTCCATACCAGCATCTTTTTTAGGCAGCTTGAGAAACTTTTGAATGTGGCTGTGGTTTATAACTAAAGACCATAGAGCTGTAGAGCACTAGAATGAGCAAAAGAATTGGACAGAAAAGTTAGCAGGATGTCCAAGGGGGGTGTTTGGAAAAAGACATTTGTTTGGTATCACTTACATAAAAGTCAATGGTATATTTTTTTACTGTGTTCGAAAATCTACGTCAAACACATGGTTCTGCAAATATCCCTCTTCATCTCTGTGGTCTATTACTTACTCCATAGATTTTCAAATATTATATATGTGTGCCAGTTTGTATGCTTAAAAAAAAGGTTATTCAATCCACTAGTGCAACTGAAGGAAGAATTTATAGTTTATATACACAGTCAAATAGAAAAAAGGAAATGCACCTTCTTCAGGTATCTCAATTGAAATCCCCAGAAATGGTATTCTCATTCAGCATGATGCAGCTTACAAATTTATGATCTTACCATGTGGAAAAAAAGAGGACTGTTCATTTTAAAATACCCTTCTAATTTATTTTTTATTACGAAAAGGGTTATACCTCTTTACATGGTAGAAATTCTGGTTCTAGAAGAAAGTGTAATTTTCATGGCATGAAATACAAGCCATTGTGTTTAATATTATGGTGTTTCACCCAAAAACACAGCTATACCCAGGACCGGTTGTTTTGAAAGTTAGCTAGGGAGACACTAATTCACCTACTGTCCTACATATTGAATTGTGCTAAAACAGTTATCTCACAATTTACTATTCTTTGCACGATCAACTTGAATCTGGAGTTCTGGACCTAAATATTAGCAACAATTTAGACTAATCTGTACAAAGTTGCTTCAAAATAAGAAAAGTAAATTTCAAGCATTCGTTAGGAATATCGAAGGGATGACTTGTTTTTTCAAATTGACTTGTATGCAATAATTGGTAGTAGTTGAAGTACGAATAAGGAAATTGGAAAAAAGAAACGGAATTCTAACTTTAAAGAAAGATGGATAGAATCTACCAACAGAAGGCCATTATTGTTGGTGCTTAATATTATAGTAATTGAAAATCAAAAGGGGAAAACCCACATCCAATGAGTGAAAATCAAAGCAAAAAAAGCACTTCAAAACATTTTCTCTCATAAAAAAACCCTAAAGAAAAGCCATTCTTGAATGCTCATATGATTTCATGCCACTTCAACCGTGTGGGTCCATATTTATGCAAATGTATTTGTTATATTCATTTTTTTTTGCTTGTATACTGTATTACGACTCGTATACTGCTAAAATAAGATTAATAGAATGTAAATGAAAATTCAGATATCATCAAGATTTGGTTTGTTTTTCCTTATGAAATGTGAACCCTGTGAAGAACAATCTAGTGTAGAGATCTAATTAGTTCGACCAACAATCACATATTCTCATTTTTCTTATGAACTGAAATCCACACTATCAAATATAAACAAACACTAATAATTAAAAGGGTTTGAAATTAGGAGGTCAAACAGATCGAATGGAAATCAATGATTGAAGAGTAGATCCCAGAATAGTATTCTATATACTCGTATGTTTATCAATGGTTCATATATAACTGTATATTCTTATACTTGTAATTTACAAAGTAATAGAAAAATGGAACATCACTTGCGTCATACTTCTATTATACCACCATATTTAATCTAGCTTCATTTATTTTTATCATTCCCCTTGGTTTTTATTATCTAATTTTCTAACTTCCCAATTACCTCATATCAAGTAGGACCAACAATTACAATTCCATGAATAGGGTATTAGTTTTGCACCAATGGTTATTTTGAAAAAGGCAAAAAAGACACTTCAACCCCTGGTTACTTGCCCTTTTATAAATACGAAACTATCAAGTGCATACGATCTAGACCCAAAAGCTCCTTTCATCTATATACCCTCACTCTCTCTCTAACAGTTTCTTTCTGCAAAATTAGCAAAAATATGGGAGCACTTGATTATCTTTCTAACTTTTGCAGTGCCACAAGCACCAGAAGCACGAGCAGAAGCAGAAGAAAACCAATGCAGGCATGCATACTCATCCTTCTCTATCACTCCCTTCTCTCTCATTCTCCCCTCTAACAGGAATGGGTTGTGGTTTTCTTTCCCAGACKGTCGAAATTAAAGTCAAAATGGACTGTGATGGATGTGAAAGAAGAGTCAAGAATTCTGTTAAATCCATGAAAGGTCTCTCTCTCTCACTCTCTCTCTACTATTTTATTACATTAATGCTTTCTTTAATAATCTGATGTTTGAACATTCGTTCCTTTAGAAGACTTATGGTCCAGATTATCTTCCAAAACCAACTTTAAAATCATATAGCAGAGAATGGTTCAAATGGCTTTCCCTCGTTAACAATAAAGTGTGATTATTTATAATTCTATTATATCCTCTCTCTCTCTAAATATCTTTTCTTTATACACTAAGTTTTTGTACATCAATTGCAAGAGTGTCGACTCTTTGTTTTTACTATAATACGATTTTATTTGGTTTGTTGAAATTTAACAGAAATTTGATGGAAATTATTTTAGGAAGACTCGAAAAACCAATATAAATTCGATTGATTCACAAGTAAGGCCATGACAGACCTGCTATTGCCTCAAAATTCCGTGGTGTGAAAGGTCATAGTAACTCTAAGAAGCTGGCCGTGAAGGGATACCTCCACATAGCTAGTTAGTAGACTGAGGTCTCGTTCCATTTGAACCCGTAATCTCTTATCTTGAACAAGTATTGATCATTTGTGCACATCCAAAATGCACTTTTTTCTATCGTTTTGTATGAAATTTCAAGATTGTTATATTGTTTTTGGTACATGTTAACAAGGTGTGAAGAGTGTGGAGGTTAACCGAAAGCAGAGCAGGGTAACAGTTAGTGGAAATGTGGATCCAAACAAGGTGTTGAAGAATGTCAAAAACACTGGAAAAAGAGCCGAATTCTGGCCCTACATACCCTACAATTTGGTCAGTTATCCGTACGTGACTCAAGCCTACGACAAGAGGGCTCCGGCTGGCCACGTTAAGAACGTCGTTCAGGCCTTAGCCGCCCCCAACACTGCCGATGAACAGATCACTCATCTGTTTAGTGACGATAACCCTAATGCTTGTTCCATTATGTGACCAAATTAAGTTCAATTCCTTTTCGATTTTTCGGTTTTGGTAATATGAGATGTGTGTTCAAAATAACAAGTAATCAACTTTTTAAATGTTGTAATTGCTTTTCTATTACGATTATTCAAAATCATCAGTCAAATTATTGGGATTTGCCGATTATATTTTGAGATATTTAGGGTTGTTGGATAAATACTTACCAAGTCATATTATCTTACCGGATGAATATAACATGCTTAAAATTAATGTAAAGATAGTATTTAAATTTAAAGGTCGTTTATCAAACACTTAATCGATAAATGCTTACAACACCATCACTTACTTACCAATAATATTTTAGTCCATCAAAATGACACTGTAGGTAACAATTTACCAGGTAAGTACTAACCGGGATAAGACTCTTGGTCCTTGCAGGAAACTAAAAACGTATAATATATATGATTTATAATGCCATATCAATTTATAGATTGCTTAACTTTATTAAACTAATGTTGATATTTTACCGTACCTACAATTGCTAATAATTTGAACAATCGAACGAAAAACATCGTTTTTGTTTTGGAAAATGATGTCCGTTTTTTAAATTTCAAAATAGTATATTTTAGAAAATGATATCCTCGAAAATTTTATTTATTAAAAATAATAATTTTAAGTAATAATAAAAAAGAATTAGAATGATTTAAACAACTTCTAACAATAATCGAAGGCACAAAATCTAGGACGATATACCACATAGAAAGAATCCTAGATAAAGTGTAGGAGGCTTTAGTTTGGGGGGACTTTATTTTACAAAAGCCCTTTAAAGAACAAGATTCTATCTCTCTTTTCTAAAGTTTTTCTATAAAGTTCCTTTTTTTAATTAATTACTTTCATCTTAAAATTAAATCTTCATAATTTTCAACTAATTAATCCACCGTTTCATCTAAGTATTCATATATTTTATTAATGTTTTTTTAAAGAAATACTACATACAAAACATCAATTGAAAACAATATTATTGATTATATATTTATTAATTGGATGCTAGTTGTATGATGATTGGATGACAATTATATTAGATCCGTCCGGTTTTATTGGATTACAGATTGTCATCCAAAAATTACCGGACCCAATTTAAATGTTAATATTTTGGACCGGATTTGATTCAATTACAATCCAATATTTAATTACAGTCGGTTATTTCTAATTTAAACAATTACAGTTTTTTATTGATAACTATATTTTATACATAAAAAAAAAAAAAATAGAATCTATGCACAATGAATGATATTAGCCAAGTTCAATTTGATGTAGGTATTATATATATATACCAGACAAGTGTTATGAAAATATTGCTTATGCCTCATTCTATTAATAGACCATATCAAATGATTCGTTCAACCGTGATTTAACCTTTAGTACTTACTTTACAAAACCTGCTTTTTTTAGCCATGTTAAGTTCAATTGATCAAGAGATATGACATCTCTGAAATATTGGTTTGGGTTTAGTTTAACCGGTATTAGGGCTGTAAACGAACCGAACGAACACGAACGGAGGCTTGTTCATGTTCGTTCGTTTAACTTAACCGAACAAAAGAACGGTAAACGAACGAAAATCTTTGTGTTTGTGTTCGTTCGTTTAGAAATCAAGTGTGTTCGTGTTCGTTTATGTTCGTTCGTTAACATGCTAAACGAACGTAGACGAACGGGCTAAACGAACATAAATAAATATTATTTGAATTCAAAGTAAATAAACAAAAGATTATATATTAAATTTAATATATAAACGAACATAAACGAATGAGTATAAACGAACGTTCACGAACATAAATGAACGAACGAGACTCTTGTTCATGTTCGTTCGTTTAACTAAACAAACAAAAAAAAAATTGTTCACCGTTCATTTATTAAATAAACGAACTTCCTGTCGTACGGTTCACTGAACATTCAGTTCGTTTACAGCCCTAACCAGTATGACCAAGAATTTAGTATTCAACTGAAGATGACTTATGCAAGATCATTTAAACATATTTTAATTTAAATTCATTTTTTCTTAGTTTGAATACTTGTATGCATGCTTGATCACTTTTGCTTACCAGAATAACATTCTACCTGCCATTAATATTCCACTTTTTCATAAGGTATTCGTCTCTTGGCATAGCTTTCGAGACAGTTCGTCAGATCTTATTTCTTTAGTAAAGACTTTTTAATACACAGTTAGATACAAATTCTCAAATTAAAATGGTAGTGCTGTTAGATGCTTGTTTGTCAAACATCAAGACTTTAGAGGTGCAAATGAATATTTCTTTACTTGCACAAACAAAAACGGTATTAAAATAGTGATGGAATGACACAATAAATACTCGTTTAGTAAATAATAATAATAAAAGTTATAGTGATAATAATATATGTATATGTATATGGATGCATTTAAATGCCAACATAGGTCAGTTTTCCATATTGGTTAGACTATGTATCTTATGAGATAATGACCTTCGAATTTTGTTTGAATTTATGTGTATGTCAAAAATGAAATAATAGAATTTGTGATATTTTCCACATAATCTAGAGAGTAAATTACGTTTTTGGTCCATGTGGTTTGTTGAAAATCTCTATTTTCGTTCTTATAGTTTTGAAATTACAATTTCCATTCTTATAATTTATATAATTCATTATCTTTTCCGTTCTTGTGATTTAAAATTGATTGTTTTTTTCATCATTATGGTTTACAATGCATTCCTGTTTTAGTCCTTCATGCTTAAAAATAGTATCTTGGACCCGGGAACAAAAATAGAAATGAATTACAAACAACATGGATGAAAAATCGAAATTTTAAAACCACAGGGATGAAATCTGCAATTTTAACAAACAACAGGGATGAAAAACATAATTTACTTTAATCTATAATATCGATTTCTTTAAAACGAGTTATTAATAAGATTTAATTAAATTAAAAGAGTTATTAAAAATTACAAACATAATGCACAAATCTTTATTTTCCTCTGAAGTTTTTTAATAAACATTTTCCAATTATTAAATATTATGAGATCACACACAATAAAATATTTTTTTTAAACAATTATAATAAAAAGTCAATGTAATAAAATAATTTTTTTCGCGTGGTTTACTTCAACACAAAAATCAGATGTTATAACTAAAACCTAATTTTATTTTTTGAAGTGACGGAAGTTCATTGATATAAATAGCGGTGTACGGAAGTTGGTTAGGTGGTTTACGATATTTTTACATTTTAATTTAATCATGGTAGTTTGTAAAAACTCAATTCAATCTAACTCATTTAAAAGTATAACCCAAATCAACCCAACCCTTACAGTTTGAGACGGGTTGGGTTAGGTTGACGAGTTAGTAGTTACACAAATTTGAAGAATAAAGTACTTCATAAGATTTATAGGACCAAACTATAAATCATCATGTATCGTGTGGTAACGAGTTTTTTTAGAACGTTTTGTACATAAAGTGTCGTATTAGTTATTTTTCTCGTAAACTCATCTATTTGTAGGACACTTTTGTTTATATGACAATTTTTCAAATAATGTCGTATAAAATAACTAATACGACACTTTATGTTAAAAACGTCAGATCTTATAAAAATATTGTAACTATTTTATATAAGGACACATATTTGTTTCATCCAACAAAATACTATATTGTAGTGAAATGTTATAACTAAATATTTATTTTCCATCAGAGTACAGCATTAAATGAGAGAGTCTTTGGATTTATAGATTCGTTAACCAGATATCTATCGACTATCAACATCATTCATATTCTTCAGCATATTCATTTGATGTGCTACAAAAATAATTTCAATAACTATTTCTTATTAATTAGATCTCTGTCATCATTATTTGATCTTGAATTTCTTTTGGTAACCTATACATTTAGTTAAAATGAAATAAAAACATAAACTCAATAAACATTATATAAAATTTTACACATTATTAATATATTTAATAAACATGTATATATAAATAAAATTTTATAAAAAAATATATATTAGTGGCGGGTTGGTGAGTTGTTCTAGGCCTAACCCAATTTCAACGATCTTAATTGGTGGTTTGACGGTTTGATGTGTTGGGTTTAATTGGGTTGGAGGGATTTTATGGGTTGATGGTTTTCTGTACACCCGTAGATATAAAACAGTGAAATATGATTTCATATGTCAAAATGTGCTATCATGGACTGTACGTGAAGGTCTAAAATATACATTTTAAAATGATTATTATGATTTTAAGAATTTGAACTAGATAATTAGAACTAGACAATCTAATCAAAAGAGACATTCACATCGATTCTAATGTCCGTCCATTTGTGTCACAACCTGAAAACTTTAATCATTAATTTGTGCAGTCTCTACATCTCAGGAGTTGGGAGCTCATCTTCATCAACAGTGGAGCATTTGGCCTTTTGCCGCTGATTCGGTGCTTGATCTCTCGGTAGCAACGCAACAGTCGGGTCCTCAGAAACGCATTAAGGAGGTTGTGGAAGTGGTCTTCATGACTTACTTTTGGATCATGCGAAACAAAAGGAATGAGAAGCTTTACAAGGGGAAGATTAAAAACTATAAGGAGATTACCACTTTAATCTAGTATTTTGTCTTTTATTGGATTAAAGTTCGATCAAAGATAGGTAGATCCTTATGTTGGAATGATTGAATTACTCCTCTCTAAATTTCTATAAGCAATCTGTACATCTTTAACTTTTTGTTAATTTTCGGTTTTCTAATAAAAGAGTCTTTTTACTGTAAGAAAAGATAATAAGTTGGTTAAATTTGGAGATAATTACTATTCCTTCAAATCTGACCATTTTTGTATTAAAAAAATCAGAATTAAAATTATATATATATATATATATATATATATATATTGAAAACTAATTATTATAAATCGAAGTTTCAACGATAACTTTTAAAGTATTAACAACCACCAATCAATATAAAAAAACACAACTCAAATTTTAGTCACTTCAAAATCAAAGAAAAGCCCAAATCTCACACTCAATCAAGTAAACCAATAAAAAAGCCTATTAATTTAATTGTAATCTTCCAATACGAGTCACTTCAAATCAATCTAGAAATTAACTTCCAAAAAGTTGATAATTAGGACAGTCATACCAATTCTTATACGAACTTCCACAAGAAATTCATGATTTTGGCGTAC